ATAACTGCATCTCCATTAGCCTATATGCTATGCAGAGACTGCCTTCTTCATGTCATGAATTGCAGCTGATGTTTTTTGGCAATTGGCAAAAGTTTGACATTTGACTTATACAACATTCGCAAGTTGTACATATGACTCATACAATAACCCACCTTCGATTGATGCTCTAGTTTCTTCATGTTTTGTTTTTTTCCCCTCTTGCTTGCGCCGGACTGAAACTGTCTTTTCGCCGACATCTCTTCACCTGCACTAGTGGCCGTATCAAAGCCGTGATTGGTCAGATGTCGATTAATTGCAACGGTGTCAGGTTACAGACGTGCTCCCCTTGTCACCTCTCAGCGGGGGGGGACAACTGTGCACAAGCCGAGCTCATAAGCCGAGGACCCCTGCGCGAGGACCCCTGCGCAATGTGAGGCCCCATACAGCCTGCATGATCGGCCTGTAGGGAGGGACGGCCCTGCTGTTGATCGATGTCATTACATTTTTTGAAAAGCGCATAAGGACTTGTTTAAGACTCGTTTTGTCAAAATGTAGGACTTGGACTTGACTTGAACTTGCCCATCCTGACTTGAGACTTGACTCTGACTTGCAAAACAATGACTTGGTCCCACCTCTGGTGTGTGGTGTGGTATATGTGTGGTGTGTGTGTGTGTGTGTGTGTGTGTGTGTGTGTGTGTGTGTGTGTGTGTGTGTGTGTGTGGTGTGTGTGTGTGGTGTGTGTGTGTGTGTGAGAGAGAGAGAGAGACAGATGATGTGGAAGGCAGAGTTGCTTATCTGACATCTAAATGTTGGAAAATGGTACATTCTAGCCTGTGAGCTCCCCGTTCGAGCGACTGACTATTCCTTCGCAATGCATTGGATATGGGCTGAACTTGTACTGGAATGGAATTTTCCCAGCCATTTCCCTGGGAGGCCTTTGCAAAAATGTGCGGAAAAGGCATGAAAACTGCACATTTTTCAAAATGGCCGACTTTCTGAGTCCCGGGCCAAATGGAAGGCAATTTGAAAGATGTCCGCAATCATAAGAGCAATGTGTATACAACGTCTCGTGCATATTGGAACAACCATATGTGAGTAGTTTGGCGTAATTTGCGACATGTAAATCGTCAGAAATGGTATATTCTTTGCTTACGTCTGCCCCGATTTAGCTAGCAACTATTTTATTTGCAATTTAGCATGATATTGGATATGGGCTGAACTTGTCTTGGACTGGAATTTTTCCGATCTTTTCCCTAGGAGAAGTTCGCCAAAACGCGCTCAAAACGGACATTTTCCAAAATGGCCAACTTTATGGGGGGAGGGGCTAATGGAAGCCATTTTGAAATATGTCCGCAATTCCATGAGTAATGTCTGTGCTAATATTCGGGTAGCTCGGAGAAACTATATGTGACTACCGCACAATAGGGGGCGCTATTGAGCCGTATTTGCAAAAACATACGATTTTTTTGTACAGTCTGGAAAAGGTTGTGGGCTGTCACGTGTGTTCCAAGTGTAAAGGCCGTAACTAATTTCAACAAAAAGTTATGTGACTGCAAGTGTTTTTAACCCTTTGATTTTGAGAAAAATCTGAATAGGACAAGCCCACATTCATCATTGGTTGCGACACTTTAAATCTCAGTTTATACTCATCCTGCCAGTATATCTATTACAAAATATATATATTTCGTCCATCCGTTCTTGAGGTATACATTTGTTGTGTTTTTTGGCACCCCCTATTGTCCAAAATGAACATGCTTTTTTGTGCCTATTCCCCAAGACAGACTGAACCTATCCACCGAAATCTGTGATATTTGGATTATGAGTATTTATGTGTAAGCCACACCTTTTTGCTAATACGTTGCGATTGATGTCGGCCACATTTTTCCACACAACGTGCTCATTTCCTACGGTAATATGTCTGACCCTCCACTGATGCTGTACACTAAGTTGGGTGTTGAAAAACAAGAAATTGAAGTTAATAGTTCACTGTTTTTTTTCAAAGTAGGCGGAGCTTAGGGATACAAGAGGATAATATGTAGAGCGAAGTGTGCAAAATATCCGGTCCATCAGAATTACGCTGCGACTATGTACATTTTTCGAAAACTGAATTTTCACAGCGAGCATGTTTGAAATGTTTGAAATGTTTAACCCATCGACTCCAGAATCTAAAATGTTTCACCCGTCTTGCAACAAATGTCGCTACATGAATGGCGTCGTAACGCCCTCAAAAACAGGTTTAGTCCCCAGAACAAGAATCGGGAGAATAATAATTCTATGCATAACAATAGGTCTTCGCACACTTCGTGCTCAGACCCTAATTACAAACTGATTCTACACAGTTGCCTACCCGTTAAGTTATTTCAGACTTTTCAAGTCTTTTGTAGGCTAGTTGCTTTTTTAAATATGCAAAACAGCAAATTAGTATGGAAGCCTGTTTGCGCCACAGGAAAAAATAAATAAAAATCCTCTAAGTCATTATTATGACTTAGCTATCTCATTATTATGAATTAGCTATCTCATTATTAAGACTTAGCTATCTCGTTATAATGACTTAGCTATCTCGTTATAATGACTTAGCTCAAAGCAATACACTAGCTAGCTGTAAGCAATCCTGATTTTGGAGCACTCCTGAAGAGAATACATTGTTTCTGCTCTTGCCACACGCCAAAGATTGTTCTTTTGTAGTTTCCTCTGTAGTGTCCATATGCTTTGTAATATTCTGACTGAATATGTGGATAGCACTGGTTATCAATGCTTGTTTATGATTGGCCCACGTGACGTAGACTAGACACAGTATGCGTGTGCAGCCACACAGTTGAGTGAAATGTGGCCTTCCTACCAGACATGAATGTCTATGTCTCCGGTTTAACAATACATCTTTAATATAGCACGTCGTAGTCGGAGTATTGATTGTAAATACAGTACAAAAACAAAACAGGCTTAGTTTAATATTGTGTGATTCCTTCAAAACCACTAACATTTCCTTATTAGTGAATCCGCAGTCTTCAATTTTAGTATCCATTAGTTCAGCTAAGTGTGTCCCACACTTAAAATTGCTCTTATATGATAGTAAGTCATAATAATGAGATAGTTAAGTCATTATAATGAGATAGCTAAGTCATTATAATGAGATAGCTAAGTCATTATAATGAGATAGTAAGTCAGAATAATGAGATAGTAAGTCATAATAATGAGATAGTAAGTCATAATAATGAGATAGTAAGTCATAATAATGAGATAGTAAGTCATAATAATGAGATAGTAAGTCATAATAATGAGATAGTAAGTCATAATAATAACTTACATGATTTTATTTTTTATTTTCCTGTGGCGCAAACAGGCTTCCATAAATTAGCTTTTAAAGAATTGACTAATATGTATCTTATGATACAACTATGTCTGGTTTGTTCTGGCAAAATGTTTTCTTAATTCTTCAGTTCTACTTACGACCTTCTAAATTGAAATTAACGTTATCATCAGTGCTACTATACAAGCTCAAAAGCAACTTTTACTGTGTAACCTTGTTCAAAATTAATTTTGATTAAGGATATTTTTTCATTAAACATTTAATATGTCAAAATGTATAGTTCATATGTTTATTTTGTATGTTTTCTATGTCTTGGAAAAATGATTGCACACTAATTGAAGCATACCTCCAGAAGGCTCTGTTCATGGCGTTGCGTTTCTCCGGCCGGTGCAGCTCCACGTGTGTGACGGACTCCGCTGGGTGGCTGATGGCCAGGGCGGTGTATGGAGAGGGGGGGCCGCCTGAAGAGGACATGGCCCTGACCACAGCCGGACCGAGCCAGCTCGGGTCTGAGAGGGGGGGGGGGGGGGGAGCACAGAGAGGATTCAGAACCACCGAGCAGGAGCTCATATTAAGAGATGGTGGAAGCTAAATGGCTGCCATAGTAACTGCTCAGAAAAGTAAAACATCAGAAATAAATTAAATGCTATTTTTTTTTGTTCAGTAATTTTTTTCAACAAAAACTACTCATTACAGCTTTTTAAATACAAATGGCGATGAGGATGTAAGCCATACAAATCCAAAAACAAACCACTGCAGCGTTCCAGTTCTAGAACGCTCATACTGGCCGTTCTCATTATATAATGACACAATGTTTGCCTACTGAATTGATTCACTTATGGCGCATTTCCACTGCAGCGGGTAGCCCCGTTTAAGCGTCCTTAACCGTCCTCAAGCGGCCAGGCCACTTTTTGGTGGCCTTTCCATTTAGCCTAGTACCGGCTAGCGGGTATTTTTTCCCTCTTTTTCCGGCCCCATAAAATCGTGGTTCCCTCAGACCAGGGCCAGGGCTGAACTAGTGACGTCAACACTCTCGACTGCTGATTGGTCAGAGAGAATCGTCACAAGATCGCGCGCGAGTTCATCCCGTCGCATATATATTTAGAAGTAAGCTTGCAGCATTTTTATAAACAGCATTTTGTAAACGGATGAGCTACAAAAATGGCTACGTCTAATAAGAAAAGCACACCGTGGTCGACCGAGGAGGTGACGACGTTCCTACATCTCATTGGGGATGATCAAATCCAGCGGGAGCTCGACGGAACAACTCGAAATGTGAACAAAAACAAAGCCGATCGCCCCGCCTACACTGCGTTGCTACCCCAGGTCCTAAACTGTAATGGAAATGCGCCACGGCCTGGGCCGGCCAGCGAGGCAGCCCGAGGCCTGAGCGAGGACGCTTAGGGACGCTTAAACGGTGCTACCCCGTTGCAGTGGAAATGCGCCATTACATTGGATGCATTACGATCCTAATATATTTACTCACACAGACACCATATGTTTACCCAGAAATACCTTTTTCATTTTAAAGAGATTCCCAAAAGTCATAAGGTCAGAGAGCAGAATCTGCTTGTTTTACATTCATAACTTTCACATCAATTATTTGTAAAGTTTCAAGCTCATGGAGCCTAATTTCCATTGGTTTTGATACATTTAAATATGTCTTATCAATTTGTTATGGTAGATAATCTGCTATTTTGTCATTCACAATGAAAGGTGGTGCACCGTTCCTTCCTGGAGTTCTTCCTGCAATACCAGGTCGATGCGTGGAGTGGACGGAGCAAGCCCCTATTCCATCTCTCTATTCCAAAAATCTATTTAATATATGGTCCCCGGATAGGGGATTTATCAGATATTAAACTGATAAGAACAGGTTTTTTGTCTTTTGTGTAAAATGTATTGACACTTAATCCATGCACTTTTCATACATCATTTTTTTAATTCAAAACAAGTGTATTTTGAGATATCCTACAATAAATAAATGTACACTGTAAGATTTTATTAAGACATCAAACGCATTTTCATAAAAACATCGCCTTTCATTAACCCCGAGACCCGATCACGATGTTATAGGAACAAAGTACATGGGTACACCAAACACAGCAGGTGAGAAAAGGGCAAGAACAGCAGCAGAATGTGTTATTTTAAGTAATGTCACTGGTTCCGTTTCAGATCCTTATAGTTGTTATAGGCTCATGTTGTCTAGTCATTAGTTACAGAGTTAAAAATAAAGGATATATAGCCGAAGAGTTGAGCCATACAAACAACCTTGCCTATTCCATGGAAACTAATGCCGGTGACCTTTCACCTACAGAGCCTTACATAGCTCTTAAAGCTCTTAAAAGTTTTAAAGCGGGCAAATTATACTTATTTTAGACAATTAGTGCAGTCTAACTTACCTGTATAGATTTTAGCTGTCAGGTGCAATATGACCTTTGACCAACATTAAAGTAAATGCTCATTAATATCATAACAAACAGCAGGCGAGCAGAAGAAAGCCTTGTCACTTACATTTGGAGAGAGCTGACCTGACAATCCCTGAAAACATCGCCCTCTGAACGCTGCTCTGCTCAGTTATGGATAGAACTGCCCGGTGTGTGTGCCTTCACCTGCTCCACCTGAGTGTGTGTAGCTCAGAGTACTGCTAGAAATGTTAGCATGTAGCTATACTGATGCCTGCTACTGCTAACTACGCATTAACAGCTGTCTGTGTGCTGCTAAAGTTATCTGCAAGCCAGCAAGTGTATAAAGAAGCGTGAACACGTCACTGCTGTACACCGGAAGGGAATACAGCCCACACCAAGTGAGACTGAGGGGAACACCTCCTGTTAGCTTAGCTAGTTTAGCTTAGCCAGAGATACTTCGCTTTCTACAGACAGATACGGTGGCCGAAAACTCTCAATCTCTTCTTCTTCTTTGGGATTATTGGCAGATCGCAACTACCTACTTTCAAGACCGCTGACTGCTGTATGTAAACGTTAAGAATTAAGGCATAAGAAAGAAAGAAAGAAACCAACAACAACAAAGAAGCAGTCATGTGCTCAATAGTGCGTTTCAGCTTCTTCTTGTTACATTTACTGACAGCCTTAGCAGGAACTCCACTTGCATGTTTTTATATAGATCATTCTTAATCTTCAGGAATCCTTTTATGTCAATATGTGATGTAAAAATGGTATTATTGCATATATTTGAGTATGATCTTTAACACTATTACATGTTATTTGTTACTGACAGTTCTTATTTTCTTTTAGAAGCTGTAAGGGTGGATCTGGGAGAGTCGGCAGTGATTGCAGGAGGTTACATGCCACATGCAAGGAGTCAGTATGTTATTCCCAGAGACTCTCAGTAGACTAACACAGAAATAGATTTACAGCTAAAGACAAGGACAGCAAATATGAACAAAGGTTACACTTGTTTAATTACTGAAGAAGAAGGAGGAGGACCTTTATTGTACATGCTGGACAAGGTTAACATAATTGACTATAATGTAGAAAGGACCACTTTGACTTTGTAGCCTACAGATATAGATTTACTACTATCCACAGTTATGAATAGTTTATACCTTAACAGTTTTATGGTCTGTGGGATTAAACTGTCCCTGAGTCTGGTGGTTTTACATTACTTGACATCCATTGTGGAGGTGGTTGCAGACAGGAGTCCTCACTCTGGAGGTGGTGGCAGACAGGAGTCCTCACTGTGGAGGTGGTGGGAGACAGGAGTCTTCACTGTGGAGGTGGTGGGAGACAGGAGTCCTCACTGTGGAGGTGGTGGGAGACAGGAGTCCTCACTGTGGAGGTGGTGGGAGACAGGAGTCCTCACTGTGGAGGTGGTGGGAGACAGGAGTCCTCACTGTGGAGGTGGTGGGAGACAGGAGTCCTCACTGTGGAGGTGGTGGGAGACAGGAGTCCTCACTGTGGAGGTGGTGGTGGGAGACAGGAGAATGGCAGCCAAGCTGTCCTCCCTGCTGGACAATGTGTCCCACCCCCTCCAGGACACCCTGTCCTCACTGTGCAGCTCCTCCAGTGACAGGCTGCTGCACTCCTTCCTGCAGCAGTCAGGCTGTAGACCCACCACGGCCCCTGGTAGACTCTCACACAACAAGACTGCCTTACCTTACATGGTGTTGAGTTGCTGCTTAACACCCCTATTCTAATCATTTGTTTTGCCTTGTTTGTGTACTTACCAACTTGTCTTTTTTATATTCTATAACTCATGTGTGCTTTCCTTCTATATATTAGCTTATTCTGTATTATTGCATGCCACTTTTGCTGTAACAATGTTAATTTCCCCGCTGTGGGACTAAGGGATTCCTGATTCTGACGAAATGGCAATATATGGAATTGCAGTGGTTAAACCATCATATCTGGATTCAATCTCACACTTCATATACGAGTCTGGTTTGAATTATTCGTCACTATATGCATACACTGCATAGCTTTCATAATGACTATGTAGTATGCATTTAAGACTTATTTGGTCTTGATATATCTACATTTATTGCTATGGCCCGAGATAAACAGTCACTGCAGCTATGTAGACTTCATTTGACAGAAGACACACTTTCAAAAGGATGGCAGAATAAACGCAACTTAAATTGTTTTTTTATTTTCTTAGAACAAAACAATTATCCATCTGCATATCAGACAGACGCAGAACTGAATAGGTAAAATCAAAACAAAGCAAAAAAGTGAATAATAAAAGTTTCAAAAGACAATTCTAACAACTTTGTTATCTACTGCCACTGAACCAACTGAAAATAAAACCAAGTCTTTTCATGTTACTGTATAAGCATAATACAAAAAGTAAAAAGGACAACATATTATTGAAGACACGCAGGTACCAACACTCTACAACACATGTGGGGGATACATATCAAAACTTTTCAATGCATTTGTTAGATCTGTCTAATATACCAAATAGGAGTTTTACTTTAAGGATCAATTACAATGTGAACATTTTTCACAGCATTTGAAAATCAAATTTCTCTACGAGTGTTGCAAGCAGTCATGGTCTAAGTACATGTGAACATGGGAACATGGGAATGGTGGACCAATCTTCATTATACCAGCTGCTCCTAGTTGGCGTGCTGAACGGTGGAGAAGCAGAGTTTCAGGGTGTACGGGTAAGGACCAGCTGGAAAAAAAGAAACAAGAGACATTACACAAAAACATGACCTGAGAGAGGACTCGGTCTTCAGACTAACGCCCATCAGTGGTGTTTCCATGACCATATCAAGTTGCCCTCGTCCAAGTTACTGTCAGTCAAACTAAACCTCCTACATTCTCAGGGGCTTTTCCTTACCTGCATTTTTCATCTGGAAGTGGTTTATCAATGCCAGAGCCTCCATGGCATCATTGATGGACTCCCACTCTAGCAGCCCTGAAGCACTGCGGTCACTGGGAGCTGCTCCACCTGGGGGTCAGAGGTCACTTTAACTACAGGAACATTTCTATGTGCAGAGAACAGTGCATCTCAACATTCAATGTTTGTCTACATCCAGCCTGGCTGGAAAAATGTTTCAGTTTTTCCCCCATGTCTATTGAGGGCTTCCAGAGTTTTCTATACATAGTCAGCGAGTTCAAAAGTAAAACAAAAATAAAGCATGAGCAGTATCAAAGCAGCTTACTCTTTCCTGTGAACATTTTGACGTTGACGGGATTCTTGACACCAAGCTCCTCACAAATCTGCAAAGAATAAACTCTTATTAGGGAATTACATGCTTGTATTCTAACAGTCTCAGCTTGAAACCATTATTTATAGTACATGAAAAAATACTTTTAAAATTCCAGTTCAACCAAATACAAATCAGCAGTGATGAAGAATGTTGCCTGTTCTTTCATCAAGAGTCAATGTACATTTAAAAACTGGTATGAACCAGGCCTCTTCTACAGACCTGAGTGAAGATCTCTGGCGTGACGTCTGGCTGAGCGTTGAAGAAGTGCAGCACGTTGCTCGGGTGCTGGATGCGGTTTTTGGCCGCCTGCTCCGGTGAGGTGAAGCGGTTGTTCCTGGAGCCATGGAAGTCTTTGAAGCTGCTCGAGCTGTCCTCCAGCTCATAGCACTGACCGGGGACGATGGCCTGCTGCTTGGACACACTACAGGGAAGGAAAAGTCACATTTTAAATACAAGAGACACCAGGAGAAGCTGCATTTCTTCTTCGAGTCATCACTACACTATATCTTCCTCAAGCCGTTTGTCTGGCCTAACACCTACATTAGCACTTGATGGCATGAAGCTTCAGAGGTTAACCTGTTAAACCCAGAGCCTGTTTTTCAGGTTTCAGGCTCGAAAATGACATTCCCAGAACAAATGACCATATCTTCCCTTCTAAAAGGGTTAAATTAATAATCTTTTTTCTCAAATTAATGATAAACCTGTGAGTTGGATGTAGAAAAGTCAGAATGAAAATAGATGTTTTTTATTTTAAAGAAAATTCAGATTGAACATAGTAAAAAAACTAAATTATAGTGTTCGTCCAAAATATATTTTGTACTTATAGTGAAAACTAACCTTGGATGATGGGTTAGTAGACTAAAAGCTTTAGGAATCCAAAGTACAACATATAATAAGTACCCTGTATCAAGACTGATGCAAAACAAGTGATATGACCTTTTTAGACAGATTTAGCACAAAAAAACCCTCTTTTGGGGCCATTTTCCATATCTCTGGCCCCCCCTTGCTGGATTTTGACATGTGACATCTCTTTCTGACCGTCAGAGCCAATGGAATCGAGGGAAACTCCCACCTAGTCCTTATTTGGTAATGTTTGTGTGTGAGACTACCGCATATCCAAGACCGGAAGCAGCAGCCACTCTGGTGGCTACCATTAGCAGCTAACTTTTGCTCTGCGATTTTTACATAAAAATGGAATTATGGATTATAAATGAAATAATTTTGTA